CGAATGCCTATTGCTTCGGCTCGGCTGACTGCTCCCTTCCTACCTCCTTGCTAAAAATCACAAACAAAGGACATTCACCAAGAGAAGTTGAAAATGATGCTCCCTCACCCACCTGGTATGTAACATCCCGAGACCACCACAGCTACACAACACTGCAAAACCTCTAATCGCTGCATGTATTGTTAAGTGTGCGGCTCAAGGAGGGAGACTAGATGGACCAAGGGACAGATAATGGAACACAGAGCCTGTAACGTCTGAGTAACCTGTAAGAGTTAGGGGCGTGAAAGTGAACCCACGTGCACGGTTCATGGGTGAACGGTCACACGCAGGCTCCTGGGGAGCCCGCTGCCGCCCTGCGTGTAACGGCTGAACTTTCCAACAGTTCCACGGTTACACACGTTTTAACAGCCCTCGTGTGAGTTCAGAAGCTCTAGTTGGTGGTGACCAAAAGTTACTGGCCACAAATGCTGAGGAAGCCCAGTGGGACGGCCTCGGCCAATAGAGTCACGTCCGCATAAAAAACACCCACTCCCAAAATTGGCAGGGCTGGGGCACGTCGAAGGCAGGGCTGGAAAGCTGGCCCGGGCACTGACCACGGAGGAGGGATGGAAGCGACTAGTCGACTATCCCATAAGCTTATCGGATTGTCCCTCGACTAGTCGCTTCTCCCCCCACTTGCTGCCCCTATCAGAGGCAGCAAGGGAGGGGGGATGCAGAAGCTGATGCAGGGGGGAAATGTGGCTTAAAAGCCGGTTCCCCCAGCCCCATCTCCACCAGGAGGCAGGGGCAGCAGAGGGGGAGAGGGAATGGGATGAGCTGGGGCTCAGCCGATTCCCAGCTCGCACCCAGTCTCAGACGCTGCGCTGCTTTTAAATGACGCAAGAGCCTGCTGGCTCGTAATACATGTAAAATTCAGAGGCGCAGTGGGGGGCACCTGGCGCGAGCCGGGAATCAGCGGTCTCGGCTTGCGCTGAGTCACCCCCGGCTGCGCACCAGCCTTTTAAACGCATTCGGAGCTGGCAAGCTCTTAATACACTGACTAGGCAGAGCCAGAGCGGGCTTAGCGCTCGAGGCCAGGAGCTAACGCCGCGCTACAGCTCTCCGGCATATCGACTAATCATCTAGTCGACGGAGAGTCAATGGACTAAATGGAACATCCCTCCCACGGAGCACTCCAGCCTCCACAACCTTCATTTTGGCACCGCTCTAAAGCGCGCCATGAAATGCCACGTCTCTCCTCACTCGCTCGCCCCCCCGGCATGACAGCCCCGTGTAAGCCAGGATTGGAAACAGCCCCATTTCCAGCAGCTGGGGCCGGGAACATCAGCAGAACAAATTGTCAGTGCGGCGCCAGACCGGCGGCACGCAGGGACCCACGGATCCGGGGGCTGTAGCCCCGCTGAACGCTGCCGCCAAACAGCTGAGCACGCAGCACTACCAGGCCGCCTGCGCTTCCGTTTAGACCGAGCTGCTGCCAGAGCCTCCCCTGCCACTGCTGCCACCTGCCTGTGTCCTCGACGTGACAGTGTCACGGAGATTCACATCAGAGGGGCCCGCACAAGAGACCTTTAGGTGCTAAATGCAATTGCCAGTTCGAGAAGAGAGCTGGTTGGACGTGGCGATTCCTGCCCGAAGACTGGGACATTCAAATGCTGTTAGATCCTGAAAAGCGGCTCCAGAACAGCATCATGAGGGGCCGTATTTATTACACACATCAAGAGAGTCGTCTAGCTGCCAGCACCGCACACACCATGGAACAGCCAAACCCCAACTCCTTAACTTATCACTGTAATAAAGATTCAGCAATTAAAACGTAAGTGATAATTGATGGGTGAGCTAAAGCGGTCTCCAGCTTGTTTTCCATACCATATAACTCGGAAAGACGAAGCAAAGCTTAAAAATATTTTGTCCAAAAACTAAGCAGCTATGACAGAGCGAGCGAGCAGACACGATAACTAGCATTAAACAACAGAATTATCGCAGCGACGGTCTCCAACACCCTGCGAGCGAGCAACTCTGCCTTCCTCTAGCACCTTTATTGCGAGGGTCTCAACGTACAAGCATCGATTGGCTCCGGCTCTTAGCGCCAAACAGAAAGGCTGGGAAATTGAAACACAGGGGTTGGACAGTTCGGTCACGCAGATCTAAGCGACACTTGGAACCGAACACGCCCCTGCCCCACACCTACATGCACTTGCCCAGCCACCGACACAGGCGACTTCCCACCCGCCCTGGGCGTGCCCCGGAGTCGCTCGGCGCTCGCGGCTCTCAGGACGGAGACTCATGAAAATTCCGAAGTTCTAAAAGCCCCCGTGTGCGGGAAACGCAGCACCAGCTGGGGTTTATTTCCTCCCTGCGCCCGGCTGTGGGAGTCGGCGATTCGACGGCCTCGCTCCCAGGGATCCTGCCCAGCGCGCCTAAGAGCAGGGCGGCCTCAGGGGGCGGAAAAATACTTCATTTGGAAACACGTAGCTGCTGAAATTTGTGCCGGTTACATGTTTACCCGTGGGGTGGGGGGGAGGGGGCTCTGCCCCCCCTCTTCCCTGCTGCCTCTGTAGCACCAGCTCCCGCATAACCCCCTGCCCCACTGCAGCAGCATAGGGGGCATGCAGCTCCACGGGAGCCAGACACGTGGGGAGCCGGCTCCCGCCTGTCCCCCTGCACTGCTGCCTCTATCAGATGCAGCAGTGCGGGGGAGGCAGCCGTGCTCACAAGAAGCCTGCTTAAAAGCCGGCTCCTCATGAACACCAGCTCCTGCCCGCTCCCCTCCCCCGTGCTGCTGCTTCTGCATCACCACCCAGGCTTATTGGTGAACCGTGTAAACATGCGCACTGACATCCCTGGTGTTCTCCACCGAGTTCTTCCTTCCTCCCTCCCGCAAGGGCGCCTGGGAGACCAGGATGTACGGGAGACGTGGCGAAGACACTGGAGAGCAATCAAGAGTCTTTACCATTGGCCCATGGCTATTTCTGGCTAGCTCTAGAGACCCTCAGTTATTGTAGCGAGGGTATCACTTCCTCACACAAGCCGTCCATAGGACACTGGAAGTCCTGGCACAAGCCGATGACATGAGAAGGGTGTGGCACATTAGTACAATTTGCCACGTCTGACCAGGCCACATTGGGACCCCGTCTCCGTGTCTGTGCCACGCACACTTCAGACAAGATGCTCCCCCAGCCAAACCTGGCCTCTGTGTAATTCTGGGTGGCAGGAAGGGGGCTCTCTCCCCGCAGCCCACGCCTGAAGGGGGTCGCAAACGGCAGACAACGCAGGTGAATGCTCACTATGTATTTCTATTTTGACTTGCAGAAACGTATTTGCTGAAAAAGCAGATCCCCCGCTTGGCTGGCAGTTCGGCTGCAAGTGAGCATCGTGTACCGACCAGGGAGAAGATCTACCACCCTTCCAGGACCTGAACAGGTTTCTGTCACACAAACATTTTCTAAAATAGCCCTAAAAGGTGTCCTTCCTCGTGAATGCTCACTATGTATTTCTATTTTGACTTGCAGAAACGTATTTGCTGAAAAAGCAGATCCCCCGCTTGGCTGGCAGTTCGGCTGCAAGTGAGCATCGTGTACCGACCAGGGAGAAGATCTACCACCCTTCCAGGACCTGAACAGGTTTCTGTCACACAAACATTTTCTAAAATAGCCCTAAAAGGTGTCCTTCCTCCCACACAGAAGCAAGCAGCTGCAGTAAAGTCTCAGCTGAATTTTGACACCTCCTGGCAGGAGAGTACCAGGGCTGCCTACAGTACATCTGTGGTTTGGAATCAAAATACATTATGAGAAAAGCCAGTATTCCCCCGTTTCCACCTGCATTTCAATAGGGCAGGGATGCGCGGCGCGAGGCTGCTTGCTGGTTTATTGCTTTACTAAGCAGCGTTGGGAGGGGGTGGGGGAAGCACATTAAACAGTATGAAAGGCTCCATGTAGCATCTCTTCAGCGACTGCCTGAAAACCCTTCTGCTCCAGAGAGCGTGTTCCCTGAGAGCCCTCCCAGACATCTCGAGCAAGCTAAGAGCCACCCGCTATAGCAGGACAAACACGCACCCAGCCTTTCCATAGCTTCTCTGGTTTACAGCTGCATTCCATAAGGAATTCCCACAAATTCACTGGGACGGGGACGTTACCAAACGCCAAGCGAGCGATGCAGCGAGGGCAAATGCTGAGCAAACTGGCAGGAGGGTTTGGGGATTGCAGGAGAGCGGCGAGTGAGCTCAGCAGCGACGGGAGCCATGAACAGCGCGGGCAGGCACAGTGCAGGCCTTCCCAAGTGGCACTGTCGGTTCAGCTCCGGCTCCCCCAAGAAACCTAAAGAACTTAACTCCTCTCCGTGCAGTAACCTTCCCGTGCGCTCCTGGCGCAAGCACGACCTCCGCTTCACATGGAGAAGCGGGCACAGAAAAGCAAAGCGCTGGATCTGAGACGCCAGGAGGACTCGATGGCAGCACTGGAAGTAGGTCTGACTCCCAGCCCTGCCTCTCCTTTAGCATCATCGGCTCCTGCACTCTCGGGATGCCTGCAGAGGCCTGTCACGCCGGCTTAGCCCTGACAATGAAGTTACCCCCCTCCCCCACTCAGCAAGAGAAGTTGCACGAGCCAGTAAACACACAGCGCAAAGAGTCCTGAATATCGATTCCCTTAGTCTATTTCAGGAGTCCGCATCCCCACTCAGCAGTGGAGCAGCAAAAGAGAAGCCAGTTGGGTCAGATCCTGACGTAACAAGTGGAGACAAACGGAAAGTTTCCAGGTGGCGATTAACTCCGCGTTTAGTGCGGGAACTGGCCCGGTTGGGAACTGCTCTGCGTCTGTGCTGGACAGAGTGATCCTGGCTGGGATTTTCCAAGGAGCTGAAGGGAATTTGCTGCCTAGCTCAGTGGCAGATTAGACACCAGGTCAATGGGGCTCCAGTGAACTGGGGCCCTCCGATGCCCCAGTATGTTTCTTCCCCGCACCAAGAGCAAAGGAGGAGAAAGGGGAACGTGCAGCACAACTCACCGAACATGTTACCGATGTGGCCATTCTTCGTCAGCGGCCGCAGCTCGTTTTTCCCGAACGCGAATTGTTTGTAGTTATCCCAAGCAAACTTCATCATCTGGAACAAGAGATGGGGGAGGGGGTCGTTAGCGAAAACATTCAAGTGAACTACATTGCAGATTTCACGCAGTGCTTGACCTCCACCAGTGCAGAGTCCTGCATCTTCTGGCGACTCCCGAATCATCAACAAAGTGCACCGAGGACACAGGACTCCTGCCTGAGAGCGGCATTCCGCCCCACGCCTGCGTGACACCAGGGCACATCACGCTTGGCAGGATGGACCCATCGGTTCCGGGGTGCAGTCTGCGACTGATAACACAGTCAGTGCCCGAGTGGAACCTCAATAGCCAATACCTGGCTGTCAAGCCAATCGAGAATTTTGGGAATATTAAATTATTTGAATTATTGTTTCAGCCAAAGACTTCCAAGATTTCATGAAGGTAATTCCATCGGGGTAAAACAGAAACACTAAGCCCGATGGGTCCAAACTCGATCCCCTAGAAACGTTACCTTTTTAGTTTCTAGTGTCCTAAGGAAACGCTCAATGAGCCACCCACCTGGTACTCTAGTGTGACAATCCCACCTGAGCATTGGCCAGACACTGGCGTATAAACAGCACTGACAAGGAAGCAAGACGGGGTGTATCATGCCCCCCAGAATAGCGTCGTGAGAAATAAAATCAGCTGCTTTTCGCTAACACAAACATGACTCCCATTTCGACGTTCCCTAACGCCCAAGCTGAGCCTCCGCTTTCGCTCCGGGCGATCCCCGTGCTGTGCAAGAGGATGGAATGCAAGGCCCAGTGCAACCTCTCCAGGCAGCTGCAGGGAAGCCCGGCCCCAGCAGGAGCAGGAAATCAGAGACCCCTTCCAGGAACACAATTCAATACCCCAGAGCTGTCTGTGGCGGGAAGAGCCTCCTCAGGTCACTGAACGCATCTTCCTGGGAGGAGTCGAGGGCACCGGGCTTGGGACGAGTCCAACATGGACATGTTGCTTCCGACCACTTCCCCTTTGGGCTGTTGCTGGCAGGGGACAGAAACCGACAAGACTCCTCTCTTCAAAGGGAAAGGCCCTTCGTCAGTTTCTAAGCAGTCCCTTAAACAAGGCCTCCTTTTAGCTACATCCATGCACTTCCAGGCGGACTGGTCTCACCCTAAGTCCTCCTTTAACTCCAGCCTTGGGATTCACTCGCATGCTGGATTGGAAGGTGGTTTAGGAGGATCAACAGTAATATATCTCTCTCCCCCCCCCCCCAAGAAGATACAACTCTTCTTGCTAGAGTGAAAGGTTTAGACACTGTAGATGAATTGTGGAGAAGGAGAGATTAAACAGTGTAACAGTGGCCTGTCCATCCGTCTGTCCAGATTAGGGATTCTTGGGTATTTATTGTCTGGCTCCATAAAATGGGAATTCTTCTAGCTGTTTTGATTTCCTTTCTGTCCTTCCCTCTCCAGCTGTACATTTTTCAGATGCAATGTAACAAGCATCTAGCAGTATCTGCCTTAATTAGCACATGCACAAAAAGCCACATCCCCCCCCCCCCCTTTTTAAAAAAGCATCCAGCTTCCAAAGTAACGTTTTGCAGGGCTGGTCATATGGCTGAGGATAAACATTTGCAGAACTGACTGATAACAGATTCCAGCCCCACCAGAAGGAGGAATTTTGGATGAATAAGTAAAGTCACTCTGGCTTCATAAATTCTGTGTGGGATGAATTAGTCACTAGAGCTCATTGATTCTGGGAAGCGAAGACTTAACGACCAACAGAGCAACAACCTCCTGTAAAAGGCACTTGAGTCTGCATCAATCATATGACTCAGGGTTTTCGTTTTTTCTAGGTCGATGCTGTTTTCCAGCGACAGTCTTATCTTTAACAGGGTGTGTTCATTGTTTTACTATTTTTATAGTAGCGCTTTTGGGAAAAGCTGAATGATGCTAAGCAAAGCTGCAAAGGATCTTTACCCTCTCCTAATAAATGCATGAATCTGTACTCTGTGGAAGAGGGGATGTTCTGCCAGACGTTTTACAAGGGGCTCTACAAAAGACATTTTCCTGTAGCTAGATCCACACATCAGACAGGCTGGAGCTTGTGAAACCCTTTGTTCCCCCCTTGTAAAGCTTAACCCAGGAGGAAGGTAACACCCCCTTGGCAAACACATGCAAGTTCCACTTGGCTGGAACAATTCTGCTTTACTGCTGAGCAATCAGCCTAGTACTCACCGTTATGACCCACAATGTGCACAACTGAGATTGGGATGAAAAATCAGAGAGGCCGAGGGGGTCCCCTCCCCTGGATTTTAAAAAAATACCTGCTACTAAGTCTCCAAAAGGCAAAACATTTGTTCTTCAAAGTATGTTGGAGTCCCAGAATCTTTCCTCACTGGTGCAGATGGATTAACAGTGTCCAGAGACACGATTCCACCAGCAGAGAAAAAGAAGTTCACCAAACTGAAGGAGGCGCGTTTGGGGTGCCACCACTGGACATTTCACACTAGCTGTATTCCTGTACCCTCTGGCATTTGTCTCCAGTGTCTGCTCACTTTAACATGCCACCCCGAAAGGCTGTTTATGGAGACAGCGTCCCCCCTCCCCCGCCCAGCTAGGTTCCTTCTTTTCTCCTTCAAAATGGTTGAACGGGCAAATGAAGTTAAATTCGTCATGCGGTTCTGCAGAGCCTCGGTGTAAAGTGATTTCCTGCTGGCTGCAAAGCCTGAAACTTTCGTGTGCTGTTCTGTTCTGGACTGATAATCAGACAGAGGCGGGACCAGATTCGCCATGCTGCCTAGAGATGCTGACAGGCTGCTGTCATCTCCTTTGCGGGAGGAAAATTTCACTTGCTGTTTTAAAACTGGCCCATTTCTGTGATAAGACCCATGCTGTGGCGTTCATCTGCTCCTGAATCAGGAGCGCCTCTCTCAGCACCGGCCCAGGAGTACTAATTGGGAAAGTTTAACAGCAACAAACATCTCTGCACAGTTCTACCAACCCAGCCCCTCCCGTGAGGGATTAATTGCACATCAGAATGCGGGAGGGCCAGGAGAACACAGTCCTACCTCTCCAGGTCCCCTCCTGGCCTACGATTTTCAAGTCTGATTTCTGGTGTCAGTGTTAAAAGGGGACGCTTTGTCACGCCAGATCAAGCTTTAAAACAAAGAGGAATGTTATGCAAAGTGCTCCTTCCTCTAGAGGGTGTATTTACCGCTGTGCCGCACGCCACCTGACAGACAATTATCGCTCTCACCCTCAAGTACAACCACCCAGCCTCGCCGCTGATTCACAGCGCAGATTTCAAGTTACAATTAAACTTGTCAGATTGTCTTTCCTGCCCGAGCTGCACCGTCCACCTCACTTCCCAGAAAGAGACCCAGCCTCACAATGAAGTGCATTCCATTTTCAATGTAAATGCATCATTTCAATATATCGTAGAGAGTTTGTACATCTATCCAGGAGTCCATCCGGCAGGCCGTTTATTCAAGAACTTCTCCTAAAAGGGAAGAGCTGGGACCACCACATTTACTAGGCAGCTTCCTCTTATTGTAGCTTAAAGCAAGGCCAGGTTTGGTGGTGCCAGGACACTGGGCCGTGCCTGGAATGGGACTGTCTTCCATCCCATGCAAAGGGAGGGGACTGATCAGAGACCGCTCTACTGCAGAGTGACCACAGGGGGACGGCTGCACTAGGAAGAGAGGGGCTGGGGAAGTATCCCTGTGCCCTAAACCCTTCCCTTGGCCCTTGCTGGACCGGGGAGTGGGGGGGAATGGGAGGCGACGTGTTCAGACGACGCAGGGTGTAAAGAGCCGTTTTTACTGTGCTGGGCCACCTCCTTCGACTCTGGCCCTTTAAACCCTGCGGTGCATCCAACATTCACACCGACAAGCCCCACGCGCCTCGTGCTGCTGAAGCCCAGTGAAGACACCGGGGCTGCACCTACAGTTCCCACGCTGCCGCCGAATCCCCCCCCCCCCCCATTGTTTTCAATTTCAT